CTCTCTCTCTGGTGTCAGCGCCTCTTTAATGTAGCTGCTGAGTTATTCTGACTCTGCTGTGAAACTTCATTAAATGTTGATTGTTGGGCCTGATGTACGACGCAGCAAAGGGCGGTAACTTTATCTGATTTAGGAATTCCAGACATGCAAATCTGTGTTTCATTTAGCAGTCTAGTCCTTTTTTTTGTAATTAAGCCTATATGTTCTGTACAAACTTTCAAAACAAATGTATTGACAGCTAAAATACTGCATCACCATTTGCCTGTTTTAATCAGATTAGAAATATAGCGAACACATCAATTAACATGTTAAAAAGAAGTTGAACATTTGAATAATTTAGAATTTTCACAGAAAGTGTTATTAAGGCATTATTATTATTATTAGTATTATTAGTATTATTATTATTATTATTATTATTATTATTATTATTATTATTATTATTATTATGTTGGCATTAGAATGTATAAAAGCTAAAGCAAGAGAAGGATTCTTCAGCAGTGATGTGGTGACTATATGCTGCTAAATTCGACATTTTTAGGCTACATCCAAGCATTATTTCGATGAATGGGCATTTTATCTCGGTTCTAAAATTGCAATAACATTTTTAAATCATACCAAACTTGACACCTAAAATAACAATACTAAAAAAAAATACAAATATGTAGCTGTGGCCGCAATAATGCCACGAACAAATAGAACAATATTTACCTTAAAAGCTTCATAATAGTGTTCAGTGGAGGCCCAATCACAAGCAGAAAAGCATGGTTTTCTTTCTTTGATTTATTAGAAGATTGCTGGAACACACCTCCCTGTTGAATTTGGCTTACAGGATGAATAGTACCAATGAAAGTAAGAGGACAACAGAGGAGAGTGCAGAAGTTGTGAGAGAGGGAAGGAGACAGTGGGACATTTTTTTTTTCCAATGATGCACATGTCGCCGCAAGTTTTGTAAACATACTTGTGCACAAAGTAAAATATTACTTACACAACGTTTCCGTAACAATTAACACGACAAACAACGTGGTGATCTTAATGTGAAAAAACAGGCATTTAACAGTGACTTACACCATCCACAAAATAAGGTCTATCAGCAGACAGCTCTACTGTAAGCAGTGATTTCTTCTCTTTTTTTTTCTTTCCCCCAATGCATAGAGTGTTTGCACTGCAAACTGAAACACATGAAATCATTTCTTCTTCTTTTCTTCCCTCATCGTGATCTCTCCTTAATGAAGCAGAGAAGGCTTTTTTTTTCGTGCTCTGATCTGTTTGAAACTTTTTTTCCTTGTGGCATCGAATAGACCCTTATAATTTAGATTTCCAAAGAAAAGCACAGGAGCTCGCCTCTGATAAGTGATAAAGTGATGTCTGTATATACAAAACCATTTCGACATAACCGATCTAGAAACCTAAAGGGTCTTTTTTGTGCAAATTCAAAATAAATATATCTGTAGATGTGACAGCCCAGAAGAGGCTAAATTACTCCCCGTGAATTAGGATTCCATGCAGGCCTACATTTTTTTTCTTTTTTCGTTAGCCATAAAAGTTTGCAAATAAATTTGACTTCATAGCAGCCTCCAAATAAGAAATAAGGGAACGGATGAATAAATGAACAGATTCATGAATTATTCTATAACAACAACGACAAAGAAATAAATTAATCAAACCCAAGAACACAGTTCAACAATCAATGAGGTAATTCGTAAATGGCTATACTTCAAATAATAGGCCTATTAGGAGAAAATAACTCGCTATAGTATCAAGCAAATTACCTCTTTCCACATGTTTTTAAAAGGCAATGTCGCTAAACTTTTTTCCCTCGTAACAACTGAGCGAAATTCGTGTAATCTGTTATTTGCATACTTCACATTCACCGATAACGTGAAAATAAACAAGATATATGAAGCCTCATAAATGGGAATCTAAAGCCCATTGCGCACCAACGTGTAAAATCGCTGGAGACAAAAAGACTGAAAATGGTGTCTTTAGTGTCCCTTGGTCCCCAAATTCAGTCACACAACTTTTTTTTTGTTTTGTTTTGTTTTTGTTTTTTTGTTCTTTTTTCCTTTCCTTTGCTCATCAGTGGGCAGCGGAAAATTTCAACCTCTTCTGCTTCTGTCTTTGGTTACAAAACCACACTCGCACCACATTTTTTTTCAGGTCCAACTTTTCAGCTATAGCTGCTATTTTCTCGGACGACGGTCGAGGCTGTACGGCGAAGTACGCCTCCAAAGACCTCTTTTCCGGAGCCGCTATCGAGGTCCTCTTGCGTTTCTTTTCTCCTCCGTTGAAAATGTCAGGTTTGCTCATTTTCTCCCTCTGGGCCCCCTCGGCCTCCTCCAGCCAGGCCTGGAGGATGGGTTTGAGCGCAATCATGTTGTTGTGGGACAGAGTTAAGGACTCGAATCGACAAATTGTACTTTGGCTCAGTGATCCCACGCCGGGAATTTTGAGATTAGCCAGTGCGCCGCCCACGTCCGCCTGGGTCACCCCCAGCTTGATCCTCCGCTGCTTGAAGCGCTCCGCGAAAGCCTCCAGCTCCCTTGGGTCCGTGTCCGAGTCATTGATGGAGGGGAGTCCGGCGTTTGTGAGCCCCGGGCCGCCTTGGCTACCCCCGTGATGGCCCGGTAAGAGCCCGTGGTGGGTGAGAGGCGAGTTCATGCTCATGGCCTGGTGGGAGAGGTGACCCAGGCCGTGCATGTGCGAGTGCGGGTGCGCGGAGGAGGTGGAGATGAGCCCTCCGCCGCCGCCACCTCCGCCGCCGCCGCCGCCTCCTCCTCCGCCGCCTGCCCCGTCGTGCGCGCTGGACATCAGGGCAAGGGACGGCGAGGTGAGGTGGTCCATGATGTCCGGGGGCTCCAGGTTCTGGTGGTGGTGGTGATGATGGTGGTGGTGGTGGTGGGCCAGTGGCACGGTGGACGTCGACGAGCATGGCACCGTGCTCATCGTGTGGTAGGTGGCGTCGGGCTTGAACGGGTGCGTCTTGCCCTGGGACACGGCGATGTCCACGGCCGCCAAAGCCTCAGCGCGGGCCAGGAGGGTCTCATCCAGGCTCGCAAATATGTTACTCTGTAGCTGCAGAGGGCGAAAATAACAAAAAAATAAAGAAGGGGGAAGAGGAAGGGAGAATGAAAGAGTGTGAAATGGGTAAGGAATGTGAAAAAAGTAGAAAGGAAGAAGAAAAAAAAGAAAAAAGTATAAATGAATGTAGCTGTCAGTCGGGACTTTTGGCGACATAACAGAGTCGGAGTATTCCTTCAGAAGCGGCAAGTCATAAAAATTAATACAAAAACAGTAAAGCCAGGCTTTTGCGTGAGCATGCTTTCAAAAAGATCACAGACTCTCCGAGTGATTGCTGTGGAATACATGAAAAAAACATTAAGTGCTCGTCTTGGCTGAATGTGCCTTGGAGCAGCCCTTGTTATTACGCGCAGACAGCGTTCAGCGCTACAAGCAGCCAAGGCGAGAAAAAAGGACAAAGTGAAAGTTTTTTTTTTCTTTTGTTTTTTTGGGGTGATAATTTACCTGTGGAGTTTGTAGACAGGCTCTCCTTATAGCTTCCGAGCTGGAATGCAGGGTGGTGTACTTGTGTTCGGGTAAAGAGGGATGCATGGCGAAGTGCGGCTGTTTGCTGTTCATGGACATCATCTTGGCGAGCTTCTCCAATTAAAGTGCACGGGAAAGAAGGGGGGAAACGGCTACAAGAGCTGGAAAATAGTCATAGACACCACAGTGATCCTTTGCCTATCCGGTAATGATGCAGTGTAGTTCGCTGTGTAGTGCGCCGAGCAGCAGCCTTGAGCCCGGAGATCACAGAGATGCCTGCAGTCTCTCAGACGCACTTATCTGTCTACTGTTTCCCACTGCTGGGGATGAGAGAGGCTCTTACACCTGAGCGCTTCAGATCTCGTCAAGCCCGTGCTCGGCTGCTCTCGCGAGACATAAACTGCCAGAACAGTGAGCAGGCTGACAGATAAAAACTGCTCACAGGGCAGGCAATAACATCTGGAGACTAGACGCCTGCGTTTTTTTTTTCCTCCTTTCTTTTTTAAGGGCTCGCTCCTCTCCATCCAGCCACAGAACTCCGCCAGTCCCAAAGCCTGTAGGCCTTATTATTTACTTTAAGGCCGTTAACCATTGACTTAACGCTGTTTATTTGTGCTGCTAACTATTTTAAACTATCCATGGGATTTCAGGATTTTTTTTTCTCCTTTGGATTTATTAGGTTAAACAAGAGAAAAATATGAAAAAAATGCCTGTAATTAATATGAATGTGAAACAGAGGCACAGCAATGTTACAGATTGCAGAAATATAACAAACTTTATTAACTTTTAGCAATTTGTTTACACCAGTGTCAAATATTTAAAAGAGCAGGTTACACATGGCACTGTCCCATCCCTCATATTAACCCTTGGAAATAAATGAGACTGCTGCCTTATCATTAAAGCCCATCATCGCCAGATGAGCACTAAACAAATTGATTTAATACACCAGCGTAACCTTGTACACAGTCTTTACCTAAATTAATTAATCCCAATGAATTAACACTTCATTTATTCAAACCACAACGGTTGCCCAATTAAAATTTCATGCAGCGATTAGAGGTATGTGAAATATACACGATATCGTTAAATTTGCATAATAAATAAGGCGCCTTCTGCACCAATGGAATTACTGTGAGTGAGGTCTCTAATGTGTGTCGTTACAGGCTACATGATTTTTTTATGGACATGAAAAGCCGGAGCTGTTTCCACTTCTGATGCCAACAAATTAGTAATTGCGATTGTTTAATGTATTGCAAATCAAGTGAAGTAGCAAAATACATATATATATATTTATTGTAAACTAAAAATCAAAATATGGAGGGGGAAAAATTATATATTAAAACCAATATAGTAATGAATTCAAGAGGAATGATTACCTGAAACATGTGATCAACGCACTGCAAAAGAAAAAAAGAAAATGCAGACACGCACAAATAAAAACACATTTTGATTCATCATTTCTCTTTGCGTTACTATTTTATTTGCTAAGACACACTGCAATTTCAGTCAGAACATTACTGTTTTTCATGGTAGTCTTATTGACCTGTCTTCAGAACTGCACAAGTTTACCATGAACCCATGACGTCTGCTCAATAGCTTGAAATGACAAACTCAGACATGTAGGCAGAAGCTATATTTGTCTCATCGCCAAATGTGATGTTCTAGCGACAAACTGCACAGACTTTCGGGCTGTAAAAACAGGTCTTAAAAGTTATTTATCTGCCACTGAGACCTACAGCACAAAAACTATTCCAACAATCCTGCCCTCTTTTGACCTGATCCGTATATCACAACAGACAAATTAGAATTAGAGACAATAAGTTAGACCCTAGCATCACATTCACAAATGTATTGTGAAGTAACATAATTAATGAAATACTTGTTTCCAGCCAGATGGAGCTGATGAAAACACACAGAGGTTGGGGTGTTTCAAAACCTTCACATGAGCTTTGAAAGTTTTGTGGGACTGCTTGTGTTGAAGGGACTGTGAGATTTTCTCTTTACTGGCTGACTGCTGTTCAGTGTGTGTCTGTCTCTTGTTGTGTTCACAGACTTGCCACCAGTGCAGCTGGAGGAAGAAGAGGAGATGTTTACATGATCATGGTCTTGGTCTTGGCTTGCTGGACTGAGAGAGCCAGAGGGACCAGCCTTAACCTCATCCAGAGGATCAAACAGCAAATCAAAAGACAGTTCTTCGGTCTGAGAGGGCCCCTCTTGGCCTGCAGAGGCAGGGACATGGGCGTCGCTCTTCCTACCTGACACCAATGCAGCAAAACCTTCCTCTGCAGAGCCTTTTTTGGCATCTTTGTCTTTCAAGGTGTCATCTGTTCTGTCACATGGTTGGTGGTTCTTATGTTGACTTTGTCCCACAGGTTTGTTACTACTGTTTGACATGACATCAGGGAAAGTTTGCGGCTCTGGCACAAGAGTGTTGTCCAAGTCTGTGGGAGGGGAGGAGGCCAAGGAGAGCTGTGATCCCCGGCTGCTGGAGCTCTCTCCGTCCAGCATCATGGAGTCCAGCTCGGAGATTTTGTCCAGATAAGCTGCATCCATGGAGGCCTCACTGGACATCTGAAAGCTATCAGGCTCATCACCTACAAGATTAGTGGACGTGGACCCCTTAGCTGAGCTTTCTTTACTTGAACCTGGATATGACTGCTCATTAGAATTAGATCTCTGCCAACCATCCCAGAACACAGACTTTGAGGGTTCCACACCATTTGGAGGCAGGCTTTTTGGAAGTTTTTCGAGACTCCTGAATTGGTTCTCCAGAGTCATGCTACTTTTACTAGGACTAGGAAGTTCTTCAAAATTGAGCCTCCTCAAATGAGATGCAGGTTTAAAAGCGACTTTCTTTTCACGGATGCCAGGGCTCCTCAGAGTCAGGGACCGGAAAGCAGAGGACGGAGTTGTGGGTAAAAAGTCAGAAGAGGTGTCTGAGCCCTCATTTTTGCAGTTTCCAATCAGATTCTTATTAAAGTCTTCATGATCTGCAGATGGCATAAACATCAAACAGTGATTTCTAGAAAATGTTCTGCATTCTGCCTCTGGATTGCTGCAGATTGACTCCCTCTCATTATCACTCAGGCTTCTCATCATCATGCTAATTTTCTGTTGCTGTGTGAGAGTTTCTGTCGCAGCTATGCTCTTCCCACACACTTCCTGCACGTCAAGACCTTTCTTCTCTGACTTTCTGACCCGAGACTCCAGGTCATCAATGTACTGGTCACTGCGCTCCAGAGCTCTTTTCAAGTGGTCTACATCCCGTTCATACTGCTGAATTTTAGCCTCCAGTGCAGCCACTGTATACCGACCAAACCTGGGGACAGAACATTCAGTCTTTAAATGATGATTTAAAAAAGTCAAAATACATTTAGCTGGGTGACACTTTGTTTAAAAATTTGGCATTGTACCTTTGAAAAAAAATCAATTTGTGAATGTACCTCATGCAAGATAACTCATTTGGAAAGTAAGGAAAACTGAGATATAAATAAAAATGCTCTTCAATGTCTGTAAATCATTATTTGACAGAGAAGAGGACAACCACATCAAACAGAAATTACTAACTTTATCAGTATGCCACTGCTTCCAACAGCCCAGCAACCCAAGATTACCGCTCAAACCTAAAAGCTACCCACACCTCTTCAATATTTCTAACAGCAAGTGCTTTTCAGAATCATGTTACATTAGTAGATTAACTGAAACTGTAAGCAAAGTCTCATTAATACGGAGGAATTGAAATGAGAGAAAAACAGGGTTATAGAGGCAAAATAACTGACCCTCCTTAAAAAAGGTACCATAAAGCACAACAAATATACTTACTTTTGAGGAGATCTGCTCGCCACCTCTGCTTTCAATCTCATATTCTCTTGTACAAGGTCGACATTTTGAGATCGCAGCGCCTTATTTGCCTGAAGATAGTGGAGTAACATTATTTATTCCAAAATTATTTCTATTTATAAGAGCAACTTATATTTCACCATAAAGCTAGTATACTCTGCAGACAGAGGTATCAAGCTAGCTTTTCTTTACTTATATTTATCAGTGTTTCTTTTAAGTATAGAAATAAAAGAATGTTTATGTCATGTATTCCTTAATGGGAAGAAATGAATCAGAATAATAATGTGCAACATATTTATATGTTCAAACGCTTTCATGAACATTCTTTACACAACTAACAAACACATAACTTTCTGCATCTGTCAGCAAAAGAACACATCTGTTTTAAAAGGATAAATATAATGCACTACCAAAAGCATGCGATGTCTTGAATACTGCAGACCCCATACCTCTTTCAGTTTATCCATGTCCTGCTTTACTTTATCGCAAACATCAGTGGCAGCTCGAAGCTTGTTTGTCCATTCTTCCAAGACAAAGGGGGCCACCCTTTTGTCATCTGATTGCACTGTATTAATGCTGCAGGGATCCAAAGCAGTCCTCAGTTGGGCCTCAATACTTTGATTTTTTGTTTTCAGCTCCTCATTTTCTCTCATTAGTCCATCTATTTCTTCCTGTTAGAGGGAAAATTCGAAAACAAAGTTGAGAAATAGCCACATTATTTTGACTTTCCAACACTTATCACAGGCTTACCACAAAGTGAATAACGCTACTATGAAAGAAGTTTGTTTTTCAGTTAGAAACTGGACACTATGCTATTTGAAATACTGGACTAATTTTACACATTTAGGGACTCCCCAGAGCCAAAAGGTTAAGGAGCACACAACCCCCCCTTTTTGTTTCTTTTCTTTTTGTGTTTTTTGTTCCAAAAGTGCATCTTTAAAAAAAAACCTGTGTATCAGTGGATGGTGAAATGCCACTGTGCTGACCTGAGGGCTGTACTACAAACCGAGATTAGTGGGTTCGCCAGGTTTGTTGAGCCTAAAACCAGAGTTTTCAGTATCACGAAGGTGGCTGTCTTTTAACTTAGATAGATCTCCATGGTAACTGATGTTGCAGCGCTAACCTGGTCGGGAGCAGGTCATGCTCAGAGTTTCGGATTGAAATCAGCTGGAAAGAGCATCTCGATCTTTCCAAATCGTTTCCTGACGATTCTTAATGAGCAATACAGATTCTCAGCTGAAGGAATGTTTTATCTGCAAACATGTTGAGCTGTACATTCTTATATCACTGAAGAAGCTGTGTAGTTACAGTGCCATAGCACACTGTATCGCGTTGCCATGGGAACCTGAAATGTCTTCAGCCGGTGATGCAGAAATCACATGTGCATCTACAATTTCATTTGACAGAAGCTTTCACCCAAAGTGACGTACATCTATGCATATATGTTTTTGTCTGGTCCATATAAACTGCTAGTACTGCAGCCCATAGAACAAAGATCAGAAAACTGAATATTCTACTGATATTTATTACAGAGAATATTCAATCAGTAACATTAATTTAACTTTTAATTTGGCCAAAAATAAAGTGATATCCTGCATGATGGAACAGTGTCAGACCTAAATGGACTTCAATACAATATATTTTTTAAATATATGAAGTTTAAACTTAAACAGCTCTAATGTGCAGCTGTCAGTTAGAAATAAGAGACTGCATCAATCAGTAAAATAAATATATTACACATGTGTAACAGTGTTCTACCAGCATTCCTGTCTTGCATCATTTGCAGCAGCAAGTAGCAGGGCTTTTAATATCATAATTTTTTTATCTTCCTCATTGTTCTCCATTAAAACGACTAATTTTTCTCATTTTGTGCAGAACAACAGTCAAATGACGTGTTAAATGCCCCTTGTGTGTGAACGTGCACCGTCGTGATACACGTTATCTCTGACTGGGGCCTTAGTTTTTGCCAAGCTGACTTGCACAGAAAAGTCTGACTACTTGCTTCGTAGTATATATGATAGGCTGTTCTTGTGTTTTCAGTCTGTTCAGAAGCCTCAACCTGCTTGCTTTAGCTGTGAAAAACACATGGCATGATGAACCATTACCTCATATTCCCGTAAAAGCAGCTCTCCTCTGGTTTTTCTGAGACATTTCCTCATCGAAGGACTATCACTGTGATCGCCCTCATTTGTTCCTCCTGTAACAGAAATAAATGAGCACAACAAAACAAATATATACTAAAACAACATTCAAAGTAAAGTCACTTGGCTTTTATGTGAGTTCAGTGATACTTTAGTTACAGTATTTTATAGCTGTTATCCAAAACATGTACAGTATTAGCAGAATTCAAAAAATTTGAGGTGCTGCCCTTTAAAATGCAGCCCAAGGTTAACAGAGACTCTAAAGCTCACCTGCAGGAAAGCTACATTTTTATGAGAAAACATGAGTCTGTAAGCCCTGTACTTCTTGCCTTCCCTTAAGTAATATGTTAACATTCTGGATGAGTGAACTGATAATAATTTTCTCTTTTCCACAAAGATGTATTTAACAACTGGGATTAAAGGTGTCTTATCCATCCTCCTAAACAGCTTTTTTATTCCATTATTTTAATCCTCTCATACAAATTGATATATTACAGCATGTTCGAGTTCAGCCTGCACGGATGAAATAACTGCATTAATAAAAATTTTGATTTTTGGATGAAATATTCAAAGTCAGATTCCAGTTTCGCGAGCACGAGCTATGTGCCTACATGTCTGTTTGGACTGTTTTCAAACATTTTGAGAAGAAATCCAATGTGATCAGATCAACAAAATACGAAAGAATGCAGGAAAATGACATATTTGTGTAAGCAATAACTACAGAATCTAACCTTACATTTTTCCAAGCAGGCATGCAGTCCAACATCACCTTGTAGACACAAATCTCCATCAATATTTGTGCATTTCTGATAAGATAATTATCCATGTCTAAATGGTATAAATATAAAGCAAATTACACCCTGGGACATATTGTATAGCATCTCTGTGTTGGATATGTATATCCTGCCCAGCCATTTTTTGCTTGTGTTCACTGTAAGTCGTTTGGTTCAAGGATCAAGCAATACAGTTTTCCTGCCCAAAGACAAGTTCATCTCAAGTTCGCTATGCTGCAGTATAGAGTGAACTATTTTCCATGAAACATGTGGAAAGCACAGTCCAAACCACTATCAGTGGGTGAAAAGCAAACATTTCTTTTCATGCATGACGTAACAACTGAGTTTTTTCACTTGTCGCTGAAGCAGCAAAGAAGACAAGAAACTTTGTCCATTAGCTGAAATCATCAACTTCGAGCTATTGATAAAAGAAACGGTACCTAAACCTGACTGCAAACCTAACAACAGGCTCTGTTGAACATGAAGTCACGGTGACTCACTATGCTGCAAGGCACACAAAGCCTCACATCACCCTTCTTGCCTTGCTTTGTGTCTGTTCTCCCGTGTTTCTGTGCAACTTACTCACCGATGATTTCCCTGCAGGGGTTCTCTGCTGTGATGGGGACTCTGCAGGAGGGACATTGGCTAGCTTTCTTTAACCACATTTCCATGCAGGACGAGCAGAACACGTGGTGGTTAGCACAAATGACCGGCTGCCTGACCTGCACGGAGACAAACATGCCAAGATTATTTAGAAACTTTGGTTAAAAACTGCTATAACGCCAGGAAACACAGTTTTAAGCGCACTAGTCGGCTAGTAGCGGCTTAGCTAGCTACATTTAACCATTGCGAACGCTCATGTTTATCCGGTCTAAACACGTCTTATTCGTTTTACGGCTGACGGGCAGGTTAAAAACACGGGGGCGGTTACCTTTCCGAGACATATCTGGCATGAAATCGGCAAAGTGAGCGAAAGAGTCGACGACTGGTAGTTGAGAGCCATGGTTGTGGTGAAAACACAGCACGGTCAGCACACTTCCTCTCAGCCGGTACAAATCTCCCACCAGGACCTGCTGCGCCGCGCGCCGAGTCTCACAACTACGGAGGGCGAAAAGGAACAAAAACGGCGCCACAATAGCGAACACGCAAATAGAAGTAACCGTCAGTTCTGGCTTGACTTTAATTCATGTTTAAACACTCGTTTGACAAACCCGTCATGAAGAAGACATGCTACGTGAGTTATTTTGTCGTAATTTTCAAACAAGAAAACACAGATACCCCAGTTTACTTAAAAAAAAATTAGCAAACTATGCTAGTGTGGACTAGCAATAGCATCCAATTTGATGTTTGTGTATGGCCATTTGGTAAATGTTCCAATTTACTCTCCTTTTTATCTCTGTTACTCCTAAGAAATGCACTTCTCTCTTTAGCTCTCCCTCTGGACATTGATTTAACCTCTAAAACCTCATCAACCATCTCTTTGACTGTAGTTTTTTTATAGCATGAAATAAAAATATTTCTATAGATGTTTTGTAAATCTTTAGCTCGGTATATTAATACTTTCGCAGATAACATTGTTCACATGTTTGATGAACAATATCTCAGGAAGCTTTGATAAATGATAAAAGCTTGACATTTTAGTTGTTTCTCACCATGCCATTGATTTAGAATATATGTTACACTTTTGAAACTACAGAACTCTGCTTTACTTGGATCAGGCTATTTAGCAATATTATTGTTTTTGTGGTACAACTTGTTCTGCAATCAGTTATAAAAATTTAAACTAAAGTGACTTTCTATTTTCATTTTTGTTATCAAGGATTTTATATGAAGAAGTATTTTATGCGTTTTGTTTTGTATTACTTATATGTAACTCTACACTGTTCAGAAAATATCACTAGCTGACTTCTCCTTTAACAATTTTTTTGTTAATGCCTGCTTAAAAATGGGATTGTACATGACGACTTCAGTTTTTCATATTTTAAGTATCCCATAGTCACAAATTATTTGATCTACTTGTCTAGTATTGTAGATTTTAATCACTGGCATGATGAGAAAAAACGTTGACACCTTCAGGCTTTTACCTCTACTAGTTCATGAGATATTGTCATTCAAACATAGCCTTACATTTAAATATAATACATATGTGTGTATATATATATATCAAAAAGTACTTAATATATCAATCTAACATTTCACAGGGACTATTTTAAATACTCATAGTTTAAGATTAAAAAAAAAAAGAAAGTTTGAAGCAAATCAGAGATGGTTGAGCAGAAGGCTCCTGATGATTTGAGATGGAATAACCTTTTTAGAAGTTGTTGTTTTTTTCATGAAAATAATCCCTTCCTTCCTTCCTTCCTCTCTTCCTTCCTTCCTTCCTTCCTTCCTTCCTTCCTTCCTTCCTTCCTTCCTTCCTTAAAATGTAGTTCTACATTATTGCCTCCCCTAGAGTGTACAGGTCTATGAAGTCCCAGCTTTCTCTTTCTATTCACCCCCTGTGTGACTAAATATTGTGATAAATCAGTAGGCTGCCTGACTACCTCAGTGAGCTAAAACAAGAGAGCTGCATAATAATTTTGATGGGTTCATCCCTGTGAAGATTGAGCCATTAACAACTATTGCAAGGAGTCAATGGCTTAGGCCTATTAATATAAAATATTGATGATTGGAGCTCCAAATACAAACAGAACTGCTTTATGTAACCTGTTATGGGCTGTGCAACCAATGATGAGTACAACTACAATAATCATCTTGTTACAAGAATATATAGGCTTGATCAGAGTGAATACATTTGGGATGTGGAACATAATTTTGAAGTGCTCTAGTTGTAATGTGTTTGGTATGTTGTTGTTTTTTTTTTCCATTAGTGACAATTAAGCACATAATCCACTGTTTGTTTTTTTACTTTTTGTTGTTTCTTTTTTAGGTTGTCAACAGTAACTTGTTGAAAAGCAGAAATATTTTGCCATATTATATTCCACAAAGAAGGTTAAAAATCATATTTCTTATTTTGACTATACATTTCTGTATCTATTTTTTATATCAAATAAGAACAAAAAAACTTTAAATTTACTATCTTGGAGTCACCAGTGAGTGGGAAATGGTGCACTGAAAGTCATACTTCAAAACAAATATGAATAACCATGCCCATGCAAACTACAACATTTTCCCATGCAGAAACCAACTCATAGATTTGATGGGCAAGACGCCTCTATTTCCCATAAAAATCTATAAAGCTACCTGCCATCCAGAGGGATGCTGAAATTGAGGTCTGATTTGCATGTCACAGATACTCGAAAATAAATGTTAAAAATGAACCTGGAAAAGATAGTTGTAAACACAGTTTACACAGGTTTATTGGGATAAAAATAAATAAATAGAAAATACAATTGCAGGTATCAAGCAGCATGCACTATTTCGGTTACCTTGTAAACAAATATAGCTGTTCTTGGAATATACTGTTTTATATTGTTTACACAATGAACTTCTGGCAAAACTTAAGGTTTTACAGGGAAAAGTGGCTTGCAGTAGGTCAATGTACTCCCAATAAAAGCAAATAAAATAAGTATATAACATATATAGCTTTGTTTTTTTTGTTGTTTTTGTAAAATAATAAATTGCAATAAATGCCAATAATCAAATAGAAAAAACGTATATGACAAGAATGAACTGCAAAAGCCTGTTCCTTATTTACTTACCACCACCAATATCACTTTCATTCATTTTAAGCTGGCCCTTAAAGAAGATTGCAATGTGACATCTTGCAAGCATTTGTCTCGGATGAATGATCTAATTTATAAATAACAATACATAGTGATCTAATATTTGCATAATTTCCACTACAAATATTTCAAATTACATCTCCATCACAGGTTAGCCCTCCAGAGTCATTACTCATATCTAAACCAACATGCCCTGTGCTTCATCGTATCTCAAACCAGGACATCTTCTCGGGATCTAATATGATTAGAATTGACTGACTGCAAAATAACCTTGTACACCAATCCCAGTTTGAAAACATCACTGTTTGATTCTTTTCAGTGGCTTATTAAATGGATCACAGGCCACAACTTGTTCTCACTCATTTTTCATACCACCAGTGGTTTTATGAGAATGTTTGGCGTAAATGTACATGATTAATATGTTTAAGTTAAATAAGTTAGAGAGAGAAGAAGAATCCATTTCCGTAACATCGCCCGATGTTAGTTTTTGTTATCACTGTATAATGAGGATGTATTAATGTATACAGACCTTTGAAACAGCAGGTATATACAAACAACAACATATTCAAATATACAACAAATATTTTTAGTAACCATTTCTGATTGGACTGAGAAAAAAAACGTGGATGTTTTGTGCAAGCTTTCATTCAAACTCATATTCATCTCAATATCGCAACTGACTTCAAAGGGCACCTGACATGCAAGATGCTGTCAGAGATACTTTCCAGTGTGCCACGGTATACCTTCAGTTCTGAAACTGAAGTGGTTAATGAATTTATTCCTGGTAAACTTGCCCTAAAATAACCGATATCAGACTGAAATGAAAGAAACACCCATTGTCCTACTGAGATTGCATTGCTTTGCAACAGGCCAGTCATTAATTGGTGACAGTCAATTAATCACAGCTGGTACAGACGGCTGCATCTATTGATCTTGTCCCAGCGCTTATTTTTCATCCCTAAATGACACCGATTGCCAGATTTGACCAGCATGTGTAATGGACAGTGAAGAACCAATGACCCGAGTGTCAGTCTTGTCACTGGTTGGGATCTCTGTCCCCTCCCCCATCTCTGGCAAATAGCATCTTTACCATTTAGCTTGGAAAGGTTTAGACTGCCCTAAGAGCACAGCAGCGAAACAGTGTGCTCTGGAGCTCAGATGACCTTTTCTGTTTAAGGCTTAATCTCTGACAAATGCTTGCTTTAATTAGCCTGATACCCCCTGCCTAGCCTGCCACCCCACCCAACTCTTCTCTCCCTTACTGTCTGCCTGTGTCTACTTTTCTCTCTCCTTCCTGATGTGACTTTTGGAAATTCTTCAACACTCATCAGTGTGATATACTGTAGATAGAAATGAACTGACAGCCACATAGCCAGCGGTAGATAAGATAAGAAACATAGAAAGGGCAGGAAATCTGTCTAAAGTATTGATATTCTATAAGAAACGGATAAGGCGAGTATCATATTCAAAACTTATAGTATATGTAAATGATACAGCAAATTGTAAAACAATGCTTCAGGATTATGCCTTTGGAGTTCAAAATGTTATAACAGTGCAAGTGTGTTTCATTACTCAAAAGTTTAAACGAGGTGATATTTGAAACACATTACAAAATACAATTATATATCTAAATATATACATAATAATGAAAGCACAGAGAAAGAGGTAATGTGGAGAAGAGGGTGTATAGGAATAAAAAAGATTAGCCAGAGCACATTAGGAGGTTTAAGATAACATGCAACAGCAACCTGCAGGCCTCATCTATTGATCAGCCACTATCAGACACAGTGGAGTATAGCAAAGTGTGTGTGTGTGTGTGTGTAACTGTGTGTGCGGAAAAGCAAGAGGATGGCCGAATACATGAACTCTAAAGTATCCATAAGTAGGATTTTTATTTTTTTTTTTATCATCACAGCTTTAAAGAAAAAATTATGATATATGTGAAAATAATTACATAAATATAAATTCCATAAGTTGCTGATGCAGATTCTTCTAAAGTTTGAACGGCAAAAAAAATAATTGGGCAAATGTTCCTGATCACTTTCCAACATTGCTGAAATTAAATCCTCTCAAAGCCTCGGCTTCACCAGAGACTGCAGCAGCTCATGCATCCCTCCCACTGCAGTAGAAAACACAAGTAAAAGAGATGCATGGCTACAAATCCCTGTTTTATTGGAAAGGGGCCTAATTATTAGGATGTAAGTCAGCCTGTGACTGGAGGGCCGTCTCCTTGATGCGGGCCTGGTTTATATTTATCCCCTCCTCTGCAGCTACAGCA